AAATATGCATACATTTGTTAGACAACTGCAGTATCCTGCTGATTAAAACCACATAATGTGTGAGAGGCGAAATATCGAAACAGCTACAATGGTTAAAACATCACTGCACTATCCTGTTGATTAACATGAAATTTATGATGCATAATAGTTAAATCCAATCGCATATGACCAATATGATTAAAAAATAAGACAATACTGAACCAATAACATAAACATTCTGTATCAAATAAGCTATATAAAAAGACGATTACAAATAAAATTTTATCAATTTGAGGAACAAGCATACCTTTCTTTTATTTTTATGTGCCATGTCCTTTCAAGACGTAGGCGATCATGGCTCTCTACCTAGAGTCCCTTCTTCATCTTTTTTCTTCATCGTCCAACATTCGCTGCCGTAAAGAAGGACAAATGTCACGCAACAATTCACTTATTCTTTTCTTTGTTACAAAAGTAACCAGTCTTCTTTCTTCTTGCCATTTTTATTAAATACGTTAGGTAGGCTTGTTAACCACCCAAATCATGTTTAAAAAGCATGCCTAATTAATTTAATAAAGAGTGACAAGAAATGACACTTTAGAAAAAAACACATTATGCGCAAAAACAAGATACATGACAAACGCTGAAACTGATATAGTTGCGAAAATATCATCTTTGTCAATAGCTTATAAAAGCCGAAAATACTCAATTATTGAAACATGCATATATAAGCTATCACCGGACACCAGGAAAATGGTCCAAAAATTAAAAAATAAATTTAAAATATCATGAATAATGTACATTCTTTGGGTTTTAATTAAATTTGTATTAATGCAATTCACCCAATATATATATATATATATATGTGTGTGTGTGTGTGTGTGTGTGTGTGTGTGTGTGTGTGCGGGCCTGAAAGGAAGAGAAATAAAGTAGCAAGGACCCTTGTTGCTAAGTCTCTGTGAAGCTGTACTTGTTTCTGTTCTTCCTCAAAGCGAGGCTTTATTCAATTAACTTTGATGTTGCGTCCAGCGAGCGTACTGCAAATGCCACACTGCCGAAAGCCTGCCTGCCTGCCTGTAAATTGCAAATGATATTTTGATTAATCCTATTATTCGAGAGCTTATTAATAACTTTACAAGCATATCCGGGTATTAGACGCGTGCGCTGATTGTCTCTCCCGAAATTATCACAATTTCCCCACATCCGATTGACAAAATTTTAAGATAATGACATTCAGTGGACGAGCAAAACAATTTACCAGCACATACCTGCTGAGCCAATAGCCTTCTTATCTATCTATCTATCTATCTATCTATCTATCTATCTTTATTAATAAGTTCACTTTCCTAGAATCTAGCCTTAGTCGCAGACATTGCTATCAATTTTCATATCATAGTTTTGTATCTAAGCATCTACCTACTTAACCGATTATATAAATATATTCATCTCTCTCTCGCTCTCATATATATATATATATATATATATATATATATATATATATATACATATATACATACACACACACACACACACACACACACACACACATATATATATATATATATATATATATATATTTGTCTGAGGATCATAAGTGTGAAACTCTGGGGTTACAAACTCATATCCATTCTACTAAATATGTTAGCATATATATATATATATATATATATATATATATATATATATATATATGCATAATTTATCTCATACAACCTAGACTTCTGACATACATACCTATCAATTATCCTATCACTCTCTATTTATCCATCTCTCTATCTTTCTCTCACTCTCTCTCTCTCTCTCTCTCTCTCTCTCTCTCTTATACACGCTATTCTTCATATATATCTCAGTCATTCAATATCTCTCTGTCCAATATTACCCTCCACTAATGTAACATTAATTCGCCTTGCCTAAAAACATAAATTAATATCATTCGACTGGTTGCATCTGTTTATGTCTCTGTTAAGTTTATCTATCTATCTATCTATCTATCTATCTATTCATCTATCTATCTATCTCATTCTGCTCATATCTATCTCTCTATATTCATTTTCTTTTTCTTTTTTTCTCTCATATTTTATTTTTATTATAGCAGATTTAGAACTATTTCAGTCAAATATCTATCTATGTATCTACAAAGTAATTTGAAGGTCTTTGGAAAACGTCATTTACAAGAGTAATCTGTATTTACTCATCTTCAAAGACACTTGTATGTCTCCTCTCGATATTTTTCTACACATACACATTTCTATCACTTCGAGAGCCACTATTTTACATAGACGAAATATAATCAAGCCGTTCACAGGTTTTTTTTGTTTTTTTTTTCAAACAGTTTGTCAAGTTTTGGATATAACAAAAGTGGTATGCTTAATAATTCAAAACATTTACCAGTCAAAGATATTTCCTAGAGACAGATATAGAGAAAAGAAACATAGACATTTTATGTTAAACTTCACATCATGGAGTATTTCTGAGTTTGCAATTGTTTATTTAATGTTTATGAATATAATTTAGAACGTTTCATGTGATCAACTATTTGATATGGTGTCGATTATACATCTGCACGTATATCATATATATCTAACTATCTCAAGTCTATTCATCCTATCATTCATCTATCTATCTATATATCTATCTATCTATCCATCTATCCATCCATCTCAGTCTGGCCACCCATCTATCTGCCATCCATCTCAGTCTGGTCATTCTATCTATCCATCCATCTATATCTATCTATCTCCCAGTTTGTTCATTTCATCTATCCATTCATTCATCCATCCATCTATCTATCTATCATCCATCCCAGTCTGGTCATCTCCATCCATCCATCTATCCATCTATCCCAGTCTGGTCATTCCATCCATCCATCTATCTATCCAGTTTGTTCATTTCATCCATTCATTCATCCATCCATCTATCTATCCATCCATCTATCCATCTATCCCAGTCTGGCCATCCCATCTATCTATCTATCCCAGTCTGGTCATCTATCTATCTATCTATCCATCCATCCATCTATCTATCCATCTATCTATCTCAGTCTGGTCATTCTATCTATCTATCTATCTATCTCAGTTTGTTCATTCCATCTATCTATCTATCTATCTATCTCAGTCTGGTCATTCGATCTATCTATCTATCTATCTATCTATCTATCTCAGTCTGGTCATTCTATCTATCTATCTATCTATCTCAGTCTGGTCATTCTATCTATCTATCTATCTCAGTCTGGTCATTCTATCTATCTATCTATCTATCTATCTATCTATCTATCTATCTATCTCAGTCTGGTCATTCTATCTATCTATCTATCTATCTATCTCAGCATGTTCATATCTATATGTGCATGTTTTGCATAGTCTCGACTCTCTCACTGATCTTTCACACACACATTACCTCCGTCTTTTGAAAAGGAGTAGAGGTTTATCCCTTGTTTCCTGTTTAGCACTGGTCTTTTGCTTTCTTCTAAAGTCTACTTCGACTACACACTTCGAACGTTTCCACCTGAACTTGACTGACTTTTTCCTTTTTCTCCTCAATAGGAGCAGGTAGGTTCACTCATCGTCCAGTTGACATTTCTCCCCGGTCATTTGAACAGGAGTAGACGTTTATCACTTGTTTCCTGATCAAGACTGGGTTTCTGGTTCCTTCTAAAATCTTTTCATTTTCTTTTAATCCCAGTAGCCTCTTACCTCATAGTCACATTTCTTGGAGTGAACAGATTAAAAAATGATAGCCGCTCATGTGTTTCCTGTCAAAATAGTTTATGTGGATATCATTTCGTATCTGTAACTTTCTTGATATATATATATATATATATATATATATATATATATATATATATCTCGGAGAACTAGCGTTTAGATTAAGTTCTTACTCATCTGTACCTTTTTTTCACTGACAATATACGGCATTTGTTTGGCAAGGCATTTGCTAAAAATATTTCAAACTAAGAGATAATGTTAGGGAAAGTAGTTTTATGGACTGACTCAAAGAATTCGTATAAAATATACTTCAAACTCCAAACTGCAAATGCTTTTGACTCAGATTTATCTGTAGTAGGTAAGTTTGTCTATCTCGGAGACTACTGTCTGTTAAATTTTGAACATCGTAGATGAATAGTGCACGTAGAATATTCAAATCGGACAAGAACGGCGCGGTTTCGTTAAAGACACCGGAACGATGTATGCCATATTTATGCTCAGAAGGATATCAGAAAGAACATTAAAATGCAAATGGATATATATATATATATATATATATATATATATATATATATATATATATATATATATATATAATCTAAGGAGACGGGCAAACCTACCTAGGTTTTATCTAAGCGAATCTTCAGGGTAAAGCCTTTCTCTTTTTACTCGTTTTGTTTTTTTTTTTTCTTTGATTTGGAGCTTAAACAATTGTTTTCGCCTTGTTTTAATGTTCTTGGTTCTTTCTTTTTTTATTTCCCATTTTTCCTCGGGTACCGATTTATCCTACTGCAAGTTGAGCTATCCAAGGTTTTTCCAAACGAGTACTACCATTTATATATATATATATATATATTCGGATCATGCAAAACATTTGATAAACTACATCACAAGAACTGTTGGAAATGTTCGGTAAGTTTTATTTATTTGGAACGGATGTTAGAATTATTCAGAACTTACACTCGGATCTAACCGCCTTCATACGGATAGAAAAAAAATTCAGTAAATACATAAAAATGTGGAAGGGCGTAAGACAATGATGTGTCGTCTCACCAGACTTGTTCAAATCTTACACTGAAGCAGAATTATTTCGGAATTAGGACAAGAACGGTATAGTTTCGCTAAAGAGACTGGGGTGAAAATATAAAAAAAAAAATATCTTCAAATGCAGAAGCCGACTTAGACTCACACATTTTACGATTATACAGCTTTTAGCGGGCGTACAGAACATGCTTCATAGCTGAACTAATAGCACGCACCCTCAAAAAAATAAATATTTTACACTTCTGTAATCATTTCAAAAGAGTTCGGTTGTAGATACGTCGGAAACGTTATGGTTTAATGTCTGTGAACGCACAGATATTTCGTCAATATTTAATTTTAAACTATTTCAAGTAGCAAAAGATATCAGAGGAATATCCTCTTTTCAAAGAACAAGAGCAACTTCCATACATGACTGAGGAGCAACAGCGACCTTCTTGAAACTATGCAAAGCATGTGTATTTCAACATACACATAAATCTATTCTAATGTTCCAAAAGAATGAAAATCGTGAAATAAAATAAAAAAAAAATGTGACAAACATCTGAACGTTGCCAGTGAAATGAAATGAAATGAAATATTAAAATATGAATCTGTCAATCATACCACAGAGAGTTTTGGCGTTCTCACACCAGAAGAAATTATAAGAAGACTGAATTGTTTTTATGGATTATAAACCCTTTCCCATTTATTTAAAACCGAGACATATTTCTATTTGTAGGGGGTTGTCAACACTTCCGCTGCTAACTACGGAGATATTCGTTTTTCTTATCTTGCTGCAGCTGGCTAAGTACGGAAATCTACGTTTTTTTTTTTTTTGCATACCGCTGTTCTGAGTGTCCCGTTGCGCCATCTATCGTAAAATCACAAAGGACAATGCTTCAAAAGATATCATGCGTATACACATTACTAATCTGGTAAGTCATTCCCAGGTATATCCATGAAAATGGAATGCTGTAAAACACACTGGTGCCAGTTCCCTGTGTAATAAAATATGTAGTTTGAAATTTGGCATTTTCTTTAAAAATGGCTGGCCGGATGGGGGCAGCACTGGGCAAATGAGTAGCAGTGAAAGGGTTAACAGAATTCGGCATTCCCACGCTTGATCTCGTTTAATTACTGACTGGGCTCGATGCTGCTTAACTTCGGAGTTTGAACGAGAACTATTCATTTTAGGTGTTATTTGAGGGTAAGCACTCCCAAAAAGAAATAAAATCATCAAAACGCCTTATATATATATTTTGGTGGCTAATGCTTATGTATAAAATTAAAATCATGTTTTGGTTTCACTTGAAACGTAGACAAGACCTGTCTTCATAATGGCGTCTGTGTGTGTTTTCATCGGCGTGCCAGGCAGTTTCTGGACTTAGGCGATGATTGCTTTTGTAGCTTAGAGCCAAGTTTATCTTTTTGCTATCTTTAGTAGCTGTTCTGTCAAATATTTACATGAGGTGGTTAAGTAGATTCTTTACTTTTTATATGCCATGTCCTTTCAGGACGTAGGCGATCACGGCTCTCCACCTCCCTCTATCCATTGCTGCTCTCAATAAATTCCTTCCCTCTGCTCCCCCCTAGACCACTTCCTATCATCTTGCTTAAGGCTGTTAGATATGTCATGTGCTGTTTTCCCGCGTCTGTATTTCTCATGTTCTCTTTATTCGACCCGTGAGTATCAGATTCTCCAGGCTCTCTTTCCTCATTATGTGTCCCAGAAACTTGAGCTGCCTCTTCCTGGTGTTAAGTATAAGCCTCCTCCTTGTTTGCATTCTCTCTAAGACATTATTTTTGCACACACGATCGGTTCATGATATCCTTAGCATCATTCTGTAGAACGACACTTCCGTCGTTTCGAGTCTTTTCATCATCTTGGAGGAAATCGTCTAAAATTCGCTGCCGTAAAGAATGACAGATGTCACGTAACAGCTCAGTATTTTTTCTTTGTTATCAAAGAAATCCTTCTGTTTCGCAATACTCTGACCAGCTTTTGGAATATGACCCTTGGACATCCCAGTGCATCTACAGATCTCAGTGTTACGTTTACCGTCCTCTGTCAAGACGCTTCATAGCTATTTAAACTTCTACGCCGGCTTGATTCTAGTGTTCCCGACCTGTAAATCGCATATCGGGCTCATCCTTTTACTGTTGACCGCGCATTCTGTCTTCTTGTAGTTTATGCTTAGTCCCTTCTTCTCATTCTCCTTTGCTACCTTCTGTAGGAGATTTTGTAATTAATCTCTCCATTTTGCTTTCAGTATGTTCTGGGAGCGTGAAATTCTTTATTTATTTATCATGAGTTCTAGAAATTCCAACTGTCACTATCAGCGTCCTTTTTGTTTCCATTCTCCATAAACTATCATCGTCGTCACAATGCTCAGTCCATAGAATATTCAATAACAGTTTGCTTGTTAATTGTTGAAACGTTACCATAGTTTAAGAATATATTATATATTTCTTCATATCACGAATATTTGTTAAACCTATACATTACATTATGTGACACTATTTAGCGTTTGGCGGACTAATTAAGCGTGAAAATTAAAAGCGAGAAATACTTAAGGCGAGAAGAAGCTATCACGAAAGACATACTGAGCGATGTTATTTTTTAACAAAAGAAAAGTGGTAAAGATTTTATTTACATTTGTGAAAAAAGTATTTTTTTCGCAGAAGTTAGGAAATTCGTAAGATGTCGGAATTAATTTATGCTATGACGCGGCGAATAAAAGATAGCAATCTGCCCATGGCAATAATGAAAATTTCAAATTGGTCAAGTTGCTCGCATGGCGAAATGCTGGAAGATAATAGTACTTAGGTCGAGGATGCGACCGAGAAAAAGGATCAGCTGAGACCTCCCCAAAGAAAAAGGAAGGGAAAAGAGAAAAAGGAAAAGAATAAACCATTAACTATCTTTCGGAGATATCATTTGGTTTTGGAAAGGAACCACCTGTTTTGTGTCCAGATAATGTTTTGTGTCCATGATAAAAGTTTGTTGCCTGGACAGATTGTGGCGACAGAAGTACGAAGGCGTTGAGGACACAAGGAGATTCTGATAATCACTTGACGAAAATTCGTTGATGAAATCCAGATGACATTCAATTAAGATAGAGACTTAATGATCACACTACGAGTCGTGAGAGTCCCAGTCGGGGAAAAGAAAGAAAAGAAAAAGGAAGATATTTTTTTTTCTTTGAGCGATAATTGTAAACTGAGGCCAGACTAGCCACACCCACACTGCCGAGCGTTCATTGGCTGAATGGTGGCGTGAGCGATGGGTGAAGGTAAACATATGAGAAAGAAGGGAAACCTGTTGACGCCTCTGAGGGTATTGGTGTGAGATACCAATATGAGAAAGAAGGGAAACCTGTTGACGCCCTCTGAGGGGATCGGTATGAGATACCAATATGAGAAAGGAAGAATTTGGGAGGACAATTCCCTTAAGAACCCCTCTAAAACAGAAAGTAATGGACATCCAAATATGGAAAGTGATAAATTTTCCTGTCCGAAAACAAAGAAAATCCTTATTGCGGATTTGGAATTATCGAGGAACCCAAACCACGACAGGCCCCCACCCGGTTTTGGTCGGCGT